AGCCTGTGACCTTTTGAAAATTTGGAGATTTGAATTCATCTAGAGGTGCCTTGGAAAAAAGGCCTGGTAATTTAATTCCAAAAAAAGAGCCAGGGAAAATCCTGTGGCAGTGCAGTTTTACTCTGACACTGTAAGTCTGAATCACCAAGACACCAACTTTGTTGTTTGTTTTTTTAAAAACCTATCCAAAAAGAAGATCCTCAACATGATGGATTGATACAGACTGTTGCAATGGGCTCGAGCATGTCTCGGATTGTGGGGATGGTGTAGGATAGAGTAAGACTTAGGTCTGTTGTTCATAGAATTGCTGGGAGTCAGAGAGAGAGAGAGCTCTGTTGGCCTAGTCGATAGAAAGTTATGCTACCAAGCCAAAGGTGTGACTTTAATTTGCGGCCCTCAGGCCTGGTTTTAATTGTTTTTGGTCAAACATTCTTCTAAGTGGTATAGTACAGGTCTGCAGTTTGCTGTACAGAGGTAACTAGTGGTTGCTGTAACGCTAAACACTGTAACACTGATGTGTTAAATGTGATAATGGCTACTCATGGTGGACAGTGTTTGCCGGGAGCTCCCGGTTAAAACAGGCTTGGAAGAAGGAGTGGCATCCACTTCTGAAATGGCTTGCCTCCCAAAACTCTAGGAACTTAGAGAAACAATGTATACAAGTGTTCAAATTTTTCGTTTATAGCATTGCTATAAGTCCTCTACGACTCAATGGCACTTAACAACAACAACAACGTAAAATACAAAAAGTTTTGTCAAAAGCAGTGGCCTGGAAACTGGACTGCTACCTGCAGAAAGCTGAAGCCAGATCCACACCTCTCACCATACACACAAAAATCAACTCAAGGTGGATCAGAGCAATATCATAAAGATCATAAAAGACAAAGTCAGACCAAGCACAGAAGGCCTAAGCCATTGTATAAAGAGACTGACAAACATAGAAATATAACCTGGAGAGGATAAAACTGATGAATGGGACTTTCTAAATATTAAATCCTTATGTGCATCAAAACCTTTTTGCAATAGGGTGAAAAGAAAACCTTCTGACTGGGAAAAAAACATTTGGCAATGCTATCTCATAAGACAAGGGTCTCATAACAAAAGTTAATGGAATCCTACAGGACTTCCACAAGAAAAAGACTGATAACACAATTACAAAATGGGCAAAAGACTTAGGAAGACTTTTCACAGAAGAAGATGTCTGATGGCCAACAAACACATGAAGAAGTGCTCTAAATCACTGGCAATAAGAGATGCAAATCAGAACCACAATGAGATACCACCTCATTCCAGTAGCAGTGGCAAAGTTTACTAGGACAGCAAGCCATAAACGTTGGAGAGGATGTGGAGAGATAGGAACTCACACACACTTTTGGTGGGATCGTAAATTAGTACAACCACTCTGGAAGGCAGTTTGGCATTTCCTCAAAAACCTGAACATAGAAATTCCATATGACTCAGCTATACATATATAAAGTTCTCAGATGTCTGAGAATTGATAATTTTAAAGGGGAAATCTTGAATTGTGTTCACAGGGTAACAAGTTTTCCCCAGCAATTAACTTAGCAACTTGGATGATAACTGGAGACATCTTGGATGTTATTGTTGTTGTGTACTCTCAAGTCATATCTCTATCTATCTATCATCTATCTATCTATCTATCTATCTATCTATCTATCTATCTATCTATCTATCTATCTATCTATCTTTATATATATTCCACTGCTAGGAATATGCCCTGAGAAAATTAGAACTGAGATACAAATTAAGATTTGTATACCAATGTTCATAGCAGCATTATTCATCATTGCAAGAGCATGGAAGCATCCCCAATATCCAACCAGAATAGAACGGATTGAGAAATTGTGTTCATTCTCATGATGGAATACTACCCAGAACTCAGGAGCATTGATTTAAAAAATTACTACATAACCTGAGGGGAATTGGAGAGCATTATGCTGAATGAACTAATAGTCTCATAAGGACAAATACTGCATAAGGCCATTATTGCTCTTATGGACTGAAGCTCAGTATCAAGAAAAAGATTATCACTAGCAAGCCAATTAGCAACATCATAATAGATGGAGAAGAGATAGAGATTGTTAACAATTTCAGCTTGCTTGGTTTCACAATCAATACTCATGGCACCAGCAGTCAGGAAATCAAAAGACAAACTGCATTAGGAAAATGTGCTGTCATGGACCTCTCCAGAGTGCTAAAGAGCAACAACGTCAGACTAAGGTGTGCCTGATCCAGCCCATGGTCTTCGCAATTACCTGTTATGCGTTAGAAAGCTGTACAATGACCAAAGAGAACAGAAGAATCAATGCTTTTGAGTTGTGGTACTGGAGACAAGTTTTGAACAAACCATAGACTGCCAAAAAATTGAATAGGCGAGAGTGAAACCAAGTCACTTCTTCGAGGCAAGGATTTTGTAGCTCTGTGTCACATAATTTGGGCATGTTGCTAGTCCTTGGAGAAGGATGGAAAGATGGCACAGGCAAGGGAGACCCCAGCTATCTATCTATCTATCTATCTATCTATCTATCTATCTATCTATCTATCTATCTATCATCTATCTGTCTATCTCTCGGATATACTGACACAGTAACTGGGGTAGTTAGGGTATATGCATCAGAAACAGTGAGATTGGCCCAGGATAGAGCCGAGTTCAGAGCTTTCATGCATAGGGTCGCTATGAGTTGCAGGCGACTTGATGATACATAACAACAGTGGTAAAAGCTGCATTGCAATCTAAAGGCATGTGGTTCAAACCCACCAGCTGCTCAGTAAGCCAAGGCTGGACAATCGCCTCCTCTGTGATTTACTGTCTCTGAAATCCTGCTGGAGGGTTGGTTATGGGTTGCTTTAGACTTGAGAGTACACAACAACAGTAACATACAAGATGTCTCCAGTTATCATCCAAGTTGCTAAATTAGTTGCTGGGGAAAACTTCTTTCCCTGTGAACACAATTCAAGTTTTCCCCTTTAAAATTATCAATTCTGAGACATCGGAGAACTTTTACTTAGCATGAAATCTGGGCATACAAGTAACCAAGGCGTGCAGTCTGGAAAGCATTTTTATGCTGACGGTTTCCTTGCTTCTAATAAAGCTGACTTTGGGTTTATCTCTGAATTGAGGAACATGTCTGTTAACTGGGCCTAAGTGGGGGCAACCGGTTAAGACATTTTGTTGCTGTTAAGTGCCGCCTAGTCAGAACAGACCCACAGTTGACCCTCCAGCAGGTTTTCAGAGGCACAGCAGTTGATTGCCCAGCTTTCTCCCCCAGAGCTGCTGGTATATTTGAACCACATACCTTTGGGTTGGCAGCGCCATTCCTTACCACTAAGCCACTAGGAAAGGGTACTTCTTTCCTTAGTGGCTCTGGTGGAGGATGTGGAGGTGGCACTGGGTGCCCAGAGGCAGTTAAGTGCAATGCCAGTGTTTCCCCTGGTGATTTTGAAGTCTGTATTTAACTGTGTAGCCCTGCTAATGGTAAACCAGCAGGAAAAGGTTCTAGACAAATTCATGGTACAGCAAGCTTCTTCACTTCCAGAAGGGAAGGCCACAGCCAGGCCCCCATCATCTCAGTGGTCGAGAACTAGGGAGGGAACCAAGCCAGACAAGGCCCAAGTGCTTTTGGCCAATTCTAAATGGACATGTGGTCTATGGTCGTGGCTGACATTGTTCCGTGGAGGAGGAGGATTCCACAAAGCTGAGGGGCAACACTACCGGGTCCTTCCCACCCTACAAACAGGCCAAATTCAAGTGGGCAGACAGACCTAAATGGTAGGGCACTCCTGTCCCAGGCATGTGGTCATTCTGTAGCCATGTGGGTTCCAAGAAGCAGCTTTAGAAAGGCACCAAGGCCAGGCAAGAGTTCTAGAGGGTGTGGGTAAACAACGTGTGGCTTTCATTCAAAGAGCCCTTGTGGTGCAGTGGCTAGAGGGCTCGGCTGCTGACCCAAAGGTCGGTGGTGTGAACTCACTGGCTGCTTCGCAGGAGAAAGAGCTGGCAGTCTGTTTCTGCAAAGATTACAGGCTGAGAAACCCTACGAAGCAGTTAAGTCTGAATTACAGGGTTAGTATGCGACAAAACGGACTCAGCGCCAGTGGGCTTGGGCCTTTCAACCTGGCAGTGACCTGCTTAGATGGTGCCTTGTGAGGCTCCTGTGGAAGCGGGGCCTGGCCAGAAAGGTCCATTTACATTTCTTTTATCATTACCCACAGCAAGGGCTTATCAACACGAAAGCATCTTCCAGCGAGCCAGCTTCACTGGTTGGACTCCTCAGAATCACTGAGAAGCTCTCTCTCCAACAAGGCTAATCAATCCCCTTTTGCTCCTCAGATGAAGCAACACGGTCACCACAGGTCGGGATCTTCAGATGTGTCGCACTTCAGATGAGCCTGCTCGGGCCCCAGCAGCTGGGCCTTTCCGGATCATAAACGGGCCACTGAGACTGCAAGACTCATTTCTAGAAGCCTTCACTCTCTGAAGCTGCCCTGGGTGAGGCAGGCAGGGCTACCTGAGGAGGGAGCCCCAGAGGCTCTCAATGGTGAATCCTGCCGTCATCTAAATCGTGGATTATTGACTCCTCCATGCAGACAAGGTGGGCCTGCCACGCGCCCTGCTAGAAATGGTGCCTGAAAACTTCACAGGGTTTTGTTCTGGGAACATCTTAGGAGGATGAGTTTATGTTGGTCTTTATGAGGACACAGACCCCAGTCACGTCCGAGTCACAGATTTGACCACACTGAGCAATCCCATCCACCAGCATAAATCTCCTGGACACACCTGCATGGACAGAACAAGCACTCTGGCTGCTTGTCACTTGAGGCTAATTGACCGAGGGCCCAGGTGAGGCTGATGGTGGCAAGCAGACACACAACAGAGCCCAGGTGATGCTGGGTGGACAAAATAAAGCCAGCAGACGCAAGGGACCCCGAGCAGCCAAACTGGTCACCACCACCCTCATCTCTGGTCAGAAGAGTTCTGTTACCTTTTCTGATCTTGTCATGGAAATTAATAGCGTCTACCGAAGCTGTGACGATGTTGGTCTTGCAGTGGCGGGCAGCCACAATCCCGGCCACCTCATCCATGAGCTTCATGGTGACACCTGCAGAGAGAAGGAACGCGAGGGTGTTAGACGTAGAGGAAGGAGTCACACATCAGACTGGTTTCCCTGAGGAGACATGGTGAAGTCCTAACCTCTATCAATGAACATGACCTTGTTTGGAACAAGGGTCTTGGAAAAGGCTATCAGTCAGGTTAAATACAAGGTCCTACTAGAGCAGTGAGCTCTAATCCCATTTCAGTGGTTTCCTAATGAAAGAGATATAGTCACAGGGAGACAACAGAAGGGTATCAGGCGATAAGGCAGCTGCAAGTCAGATGTGTGGAGCTCCCATAAGCCAGGAGAGAGGCAGGAGATGGTTTTTCTCCCGGAGCCCCAGGAGGATCCAATCACTGCCACGTCCTCATTCAGACTCCAGCCTCCAGAACTGTGACATGCTAAATTTGTGTTCATTTAGGAACAATACGCAGCTCTGCTGACACAGTCTGTGGGGAGTTTCACTGCTCACCCAAAGTCTATGCCTCGCTGTAGGTTTGAATCCATTAGTAACTTTGCAGGGAGAGGATGGGTAATATCCTGTGCAATTTACAGCCTTAGAAAAGCAACGGAGGATTGATCAGTATGAAATGGTTCTGAGTGGATGACAATGAATCATAGGAATAGGCAGTCTACTTTGTGGGAGCTTTAGTGCCTGAATGATAAGGAATCGTGTCGCCAACCCAAAGACACATGGTTCAAACCCACGGGAGAAAGATGGGCAATCTCCTCCCATGCAACTTACAGTGTCTGAATACCCACTAGAGTGTCAGCTATGAATATGGTTTTGACTATGGCACATAAAACAACAATTTTGTGGTATTTTGTTACAACAGCACTAAGAAGTCAATCTAGAAGGCGAGACCATTTCATTTTCTGAAGACATCTGCCCACTCTGACAGCAAGGAGCCTGGGGGCACAATGGCTACGCTATACCATTTCGCATTCTCACCAGCAATCGATAAGGGTTTCCAATTTCCCCAACATTTGTTCTTTTCTGGTTTTTGTTTGTTCTTGAATCTTAGCCAGCCTACTGGAAGGGAAAAGATACCTCACTGTGGTTTTGACTAGTGATTTAATGACTGACTAATGATGTTGATAATTTTTCAAGGGTTTGGTGGCCATTTGAAAGACTTCTTTGCTGAAATGTCTACGTAAGTCTTTTGTCCATTTTATGATTGGGTTAAAAGTCTCTTTGTTGTTAAGTTGCTGAGAGTCTTATGTATATTTTGGTTATTAGATTCTTGATGGTTTACAAAGAGATGCTCCCAGGCAATAGCTTGTCTTTTCACTTTTTAAGAGAGTAAAGTCGTCATTTTTATGAAGACTTTTATGAGATCCTATTTTTTCTTATTTCATCTTTTGTTGCTTATGCTTTTGTTATTCTGTTAGGTCATCTGTTGTTGAAAGCCTTTTTAATGCTGTTACCGTGGACTTGCAGGGAAACAAAAGATGACTGTAGTCTTTTGGGATTCTGTGGCACTAAGAGGGAAGGGAGTCATTTCTCACAAGAAACAAAGAAATGAAACCAAACCAGTTGGTATTGACTCATGTGGATCCCATGTGCATCAGAAAGAACAGTCAGTTACAGGAATGGGGAAGAGACAGGTGAGCTTTCAGCAGAAATGGTGGAGGGGATGCTGAGGACACTTTCAACTGCTGCTTTTTAGGAGTTTAGGGCAGAATTTGCACTCCGTGTGACCTTGCTTTTATATTATAGATAAAGACATGTCACTAGCAACTCTGCACAGTCAGGGGCCTTTGGAGAACCAGTGAAGGAAACGAGTACGATTCTCCCTCACGATTTCCCAAGAGAAAATGAAGAAAGACCGGGACACAGTTGTGTGGCAGTTGGAGACAAAACCACGAGGACATGTGTATGAAAAAGCAGTGAAGCCACTGGAAGCCGTGAACAGGGCACTCAGACAAGCACTGGCAGCACCTGAGGATCTGAGTGCTGGTCCCCCAAGGAGAGTCACTCGGGCTGAAAAGTCAGCGCCCAGAAGGCAGGAATTGTTTTGTTCACCTTCCAAACATCTGGAACATGATCCACTCCAGTTTTTTGAGTCAACTCTCAAAAAACACCTAACCAAACGAATGAATAAACGATCTCCTCACGGGAAGTCAACTATATGCAGGCACATTATTATCTCTATTGTATAAATTGGGGACCTGAGGCACACAGAGTTGAGTGCTGTGTCTAAACACACAGGAAGTGTTGCAACAGGGATTGAACCCTGACCACAGCACAGGGCCACCTGGACTGTCTCTCCAGCCGATCCCACTACACTGAGACTCCCAGATGGAATTCTTAGAAAGTTCAAAGTCATGGTAGGTATGAGGAGGTGGCAGTAAAAACAGTACAGGGGGTGAAGGTCACGAACACAGAGGTGCTAATGCTACCAGGTTCTGTCAGCAATTCAGGATCTCTTAGTTTTGGGGTGAGGGAGGAGGTAAGAAAGGAAGAGAGAATTTACATTGGAACAAATGTTTACACCTTAGAAAGGACTGACAATCAACTACTTGTTTGTAGGTTTAAAATGGCAGAACCAATTAAAAATAGAAGTTACTGTGATTTTTTTCACACTACAGTTTTGCCCCATTTATTTGAAATACAGTCGAATCAATACAGACATTCCATTCACTGCAGGGTCCTAAGTCCATGAGAGGTCCCTGGTGGGCAGCGTGCTACAGGTTGAGCTGACAGTGATTTGAATGCACCAGCGCTCTGAGGAAGGAAGACGGGGCACTCTCCCCCCCAGAGATGTTCAGCCTTGGGAGGCTGATGGAACATCATTGTAAGTCAGAATTAATGCACAGCAGTAGGTTTGGTTTGGGCCGAGTTCGAGCCAGGATGCCTGGTGGGGAAATGGATGCTTGGATGCTAAACGAAAAGCTGGTAATTCAAAGCCACTTAATGCCCTGCAGAGGGGGCTCTGGTGACCTGGTGGGAAAAGGGTAACTCAACTCAAAGGTTCAAATTCACCAGACGGGCAGTCTCCTCTGGTGTGATTTATAGCCTCTCAAAACCTGCTGGAGGGTCAATATGAGTCAGTTCTGACTGGATGGCACGTAATAGTAACAACAACAAATTACCCTGCAGAATAAAGACCTGGAGACCTGCTTCTGCAAATATCTCGGCCTAAGGATTCCTATGGGACAGTTCTACTCTGATCCATGAGGTTGCAATCAGTCCAAACAGTCCAGGCAGCATCCAAGAATAACAAGCTCCAGCCACCAAAGCCAGTGGTAAATGCAGGCCAGGCATGGGCGGTTGCGTGGGTTCCTTTAAGCCCCATGTACGACTCTTCACACACCCCTGCTGCGTACTCCATCATGTGTGACGTGGAAGAGTGTACCTGGTAGGGACATGCTTCACAGTTGTTGAGTGTCTGGACTGATAACTACCCTGTCATAGCAATGCTCAGGGATGACTACTGACTGTCAGAGCACACTCAAGCAGGCAAGTGTTTCCAGCGGCAAGTGATAGGACTTCCTGTCCAGGTAACAATTTGGGCCATCAGTTAGTCCCAAGTGTGAGCAGAGAAGGTATGCTTCCCGAACCCACAGAACCTAACACCAGGTGAGCCAGATAGTGTATCAGATAATAAAGCTGATATTCCAAGTTAGCTTGCAAAGGCTGTAGGATAAAGGACTGTGAAAGGAGAGCTCTCTCCCGACCCCAACAATCAGCTTGGAAATCTGAGACGGGAATATCATGGAGTCCTGGTCAGTTGAAACCTGACGTGAAGGGCACTCGATGGCTGATTGAGAAGGCACACATAGCAATATAATCCTACCACGTACAAATGTCACCTGGTCATGCCCCGTATCTGGGGGGTTTTTCTGATAATATCAATATGGAGAAAAACATAAAATGGCTAGTACTGTTTGGAGTCCTGTGGGGGTTTAAAGGGAAGGGCATGAACAGATTTTATAAGAAACACACAAATAGAATGAATGAAAACCCAAAATCTCTGTAAATGTTCATGAAAATGAATAAAATTTAATTAAAAAAAAGAGAGAAACACGCAAATAAAACCCAACTAGCTGCCACTGAGTCAGTCCAACTCCTGGAAATTCTCTCCTGCATGAGGGTAGAAGCACATCCCATGTGGTATTCCACGGCTGGTTGCTTCCAGAAGCACATCACCAGGCCTTTCTTTCGAGGTGCATTTTAGAAGGGTGTGGTATTCTGCCCCACTCGCGGACTCTAATTTGCTAAGAATCTAGAAATAGAACTGCCATGGATTGTACACGGTCTCCTCTGATTCCTGACGAGGCCTAGGACATCTCTGCCTGAGCCTCGCCTGTTGTCTGCTGCTAAGAACAATCATGAGATGAAAGGGTCTGTGCAGGAGCGAGGGAATGAACGATCCCCGTGATCTCCTTCCACTGGGGCAGGTCTAAGGAACCCTGTTGGTGCAGGGTCGAAGCGCTCGCACACAGCTGCTCACAGGAAAACCAGTGGTGTGGACCCAGAAGCTGCTCCGAGGGAGAAAGACGAGGCAGTGAGCTTAGGTAAAGACTTAGAGCCTTCACAACCCTGTGACAGGGGCCGGTTCTACTCTCTCTGTCGGGGACTTCTGTTCTGTAGGGTCACTTGGAGATGGAATCAAGTTGATGGCAGCAGAACTGGTTTTTGGTGACATGTTTACAGAAATTGTTACCATGCAACACTCCTGCCTATGGCCTCAGGCACGGTGGATTATAATCAATCAATATGTCCCTTGAAAAAACAAGAAACAGCCTTGCCTGACCGAGGCCAGATTGTCCTGCTATCTTGGTCCAACCAGGCCTCATATCACCACAGAGGCAGCCAGCAGCCCCCTTGGGCACGGGAAGCCACTGTCCACCCTTCACCTTTGTGCCCTTTAATGAAACGTATCACATATTTGAGTTTTCTCAAGGATGTCTCTCTTTCTAGGTTTCCACTGAAAAGCCTCATCAATTTCTCCCTATTGGGTACAGTAGATGCTGCCTACTTAGGGAAAATAACTTTGGTA